TTCCAGGCGGATTTATACGATGTGAAATTGTTTATTGAGTCGCTTCTAAATTAAGTGCAAATTCGTCTTGCTTTTGAGGCGAATCTAGCTTCAATAATACTTCCGATCCCGTGTCCTTGGACACTTTCGGCTTTCCACTGACCCCTTTGATTTCCACGCCAAAGTTACCATTTTTAAACTTAAAAAACCACTCACGATTAGTCTCCCTCTCGTTTATAGCAGCCTCGCCATTCTTGGTGATTGCTTGTACAAGCAATCGATGCAAGGAATAAAACAAAAGCTTCCGGAATTGACGTATATTTCGCACTAAGCTTGACATTTTCGCACAAAAAAAGTTGTGCAGTCACTAATGCTTCCAGGTTATGTCGCTATCAGATGACCAAACTTACAATCCTACGTTTTACAACCGGCAATTTTAACAAAATCTTTAGGGGGTTATAAAAATTTTTGACAAAAAAATGAAATTTTGATACATTATAATATGGGGTAGACATGGCCGACTTATCCAGATAGAATATACGTTTAAATTTCTATATGTTTATCTGCTGCAATTGTTGATTAATGAGCAAAAATCAATTTTTCCATCTTTGGAAAGCGAAGAGAGTTTACGCGATAACGTACACGTGCCCTTAGGCCAATCGGCATACAAAAATTTCACAATTAAATCCAATTGCAGCCAAGAGAATGTTTACAATAGACATTACACAGACGCACAAACGAACATGCTTAAATTGATTCTTAATTTGATGCTGATCGAAAATGTATATAATTTATGGGGTCTTCGAAGCTTTTTATTGAGCGTTGCAAACGTATTGACAGATTGGTGATGAATGCGGAAAAAGTAATCTCTTATATTTTGGTATTGTAATAAAAACACCCTGATCACCTTAACGTAAACGTGGTTCATACAGGATTAATATGATCCTTAATTTATATGACTGAGTATTTGGAATCTAATGATCGGTCAAAGTGAGGAAAGGAATTTTTAAAATCAATTATAGGTGATTTTAAAATCAGGTGTAGGTAGCCTATTCTGCGAAGATGGAATGAAAAGCAGAATTAAGAAAAATGTTTATTTCAAGTATCAACAAATCGCTGAAAACTTTCGTATAAACTAATGTAAGACAATTTTCAACATTAAAAGTACCTGCGATAAAAATGTTAGGTTTCTTTTTCTTAAAAATCAATTTTAATTTTAAATACACCAAAGGCGAAGGGGCACTGTAAATACGCTTCTTATATGTGTATGTAGACCTCTCCTTCAGCTTACTACTTTGTGATGTTTTATTAAAAGTTGCAAATAAAGCGAAGAACTTTGCACGCGCTTTACGATGATGGGCAAAAAAAAAAACTTTAAAAAAAAAAGCAAATTAAAAAAGTTTAGCCAACGTGACAAAAGCAAATGAACTAAAAAAAAAAAATAAAAATAAATAAAGAATAAATGAATAAAATGTGCACTCTGTTTATTATCGAAAGAAAAGAAATAGGAATTTGAAAACATGTAAAAGCACTTTAGTGGAGTACAGCCCACTATTAAATACCCTGCATTGCCTTATAGTTTCTTAATAGATGTATTTGTTTCTTAATAGAGTTATTTGAGAAAGTGTTTCGATGCAAACCATTTTCAATAGTAGCGTTCGTCGTTCTTTACACAAATTTTATGAACATATTTTAAAAATTTGCGACCTGTACGCTGAACATAAGAATACAAAACGGATAGGTGGACAGAAGCACAGACATGGCTAGATTGATTCTCAAAGTGACGCTGAACCGATCGGCACAATAAAAGTTGCGTCTATTTAAAGTCCTCTTACGTGTTACATTCATCCGCACAAACTTAATATACTCTTGTACCACCAAGGGTGTAGAGTGTAAACAATATGACTGAAAACATATATTAGAGGAAAGCAACTAAAAGATAAACTATTTTTGAAAACAAATATGAAAAAAAAAAAAAAAAAACTATACCGAACGCTTATCTAAGCATATATATGCATTTCGCAAAATGCTTTGCGTGAAAAAATTTCATATTTATGAAAAATTGGCAATTATTGATTTTTAAATGCTATGTCAGAAACGTGCTTGCTTTAAAAATATGTATAGAAATAAATTAATAAACAAACACTAGAAACCCAGACTTCACATTTCCAACTTAATTAAGAAACTATTAAAACTTTAGATTTTCATTTTCTTTGAAAGCTTCAGCTAACTTTTGTTCGCTATCTTTTCAAACTGTCTCAAAACTTAACGTTGGCTCGTCGTCGTCGTTGTTGTTACTACAAAACTTCTAAGAGCTGACTTTTAATAATAATAATAATAATAATAATAATAACAAGCGCAATACAAGTAGAATGTAGCTGCATTGACAGCACCAACAAACAATTTCATCAATATGAAAAGAAACGCAAAAAAAAAAAAAAAAAAAAAAAATGTGGAAACTGTACAAAGCTATCGCGTAAGTTGCAAAAAATGAAAAAATGAAAAAAAAACAAAAATCGTATCCACACACACAACATCAAATTTACTAACCGACCAAAGTACATTATTACAAAACGTTCAATAATTAGCTAAATATACACATACAGAGACATAACACGCACACTTATATACGTATCATATATATATGTAGATATAAAATTGCATATGAGTGTGAACACCATTTTGACAGTAAGTAAAAATTTTTTATGCTGATCGCTGCCAAGCGTCAATTTTATACTCTTTAACTTGATTCGGGTTTCTCTCTTAATACAAAACAACTGAAATTATTCTAGTCTGATCATTACGACCACTTTATCTTAAGTTCCATATTAAGTTTCTCTATCCTTTACTTGTATGCTGAAAGCAGAAAATACTGCAATGTACACTTTACGGTGAAATCATGTGTTGACGGGTGATAAGCATCACGGATAAATAAGTAGTGTGTGAGATGTGAAATCCGTGCATTGATATTGATACCTAGATTATTTATTACTTTGTAAATATCTTTAGATACATCGAACCATTTTCTAATTCGTTCCTTGTCTTCATTCAAAAACACGCAAACGATAATAAATCGTTTAATAAATCAAATTAATAGAAGCCTTATAAAAAATGTACAGGGCAAACATGGGTAATTTATAAAGAAATTTCTAGGGCTCACCTACTGCGTGATAATTGTATTTACAAAATCGTTAATGTTGTCTTAGAAATAATCGCGATTCCTTAAATAGTTAATAAGTAAACATACTATAGTGGAGTACGGTACACACTGTTAAATATCCCATACGATCCTACAATTATCCATATATCGATTTTTCAAAACAAGTTAGCGAATGGTTCGAAACATTTTCAAATTGTACAAAATTTCATTGAAATGTCTCTAAAACCTCTCAATAAAACGGACACACAAGCTAGGGTCGATTTACAAAATGATTCTGAATCGATCGCTATAATAAATGGTGAGTCTATCTCAAGTCCCTCCGTGCATTCGATACATCTGCACAAATTTAACATATCCTTATACAACAAGTGGTGTTGAATGTAAAACGCGTTCTTTATGAGAATTGGGCCATAATAAGGCTATTCCAGAGCAAGCCATGGTTAAGAAGATCAAGTCTTTTTTTATGCAAAAATAATACGCGAAAAAATCCATGCTTTAGATATTAACGTCACCAAATATGTGAACTTTTCCATTCGTCTCACGTTAGTGAACGTTTCCCGTCTGAAGTTGCTTTTACATTTAATATCTAATTCTTCATTTCTTTCACTTTCATTTTCACAAATCAGTTAGGTTGGTGGTCGAATAGAAGTGAGAGCATTGAAAAAAATGTACGGAACCGTTTACCTGTCGATATATAGGTGGACGTAGTAGGAAAACAGTCGTTTCTTTATTGAAGCTACGGGAAACGATTATATAAAAATTGAAGTAAAGTAAGTCGAAAAAGTCTTGAATAGTCTTTATAGAACGAGTGAAGAAAAAACATTTCATGCTGAACGAGTATTCGAGTAACAAAGCCAGATAACTACAAAGCTTATTGAAATCAAGTAAAAACCGGATGACAATAGGTTTCTGTGTCAATTATGTTTGCTCTTGATCGCCAGAAATTGGTCTGTCTAACTAAAGGTTTCTAATTTTTATCTACTAATGTCCCTTATTTGTGTAACGGTAACATGGCGACGATTAAATAGAAGAGAGAAAAAGATAAACAGATGGTGGGTGCAATCTGGCTCTAGCTACGACGAAAGCAAACTGTACCAGATCCGAAATTTGAACCCGCGAACATTGCCTCTGTAGTCGCGATTCTTACCTACAGAGCTACTCATGCTACTGAATGATATTCCCTTTTCATTCTTTTTTTAATGGCTTTTCCGTAAATCTATCGAGAGCAAATCCACATTCCCGATCATGCTTATCAAGTAGGCAGTGCTCGATTATTATTACTGTTACTGCCTTTAGATTAAAGCTTAAATGGGGAATAATCGGACTTGAGTTGTTTTTCCTATGATCATGAACAAAAAGTCTTTTACTATGAGTCTTTTACTATTCATCTCGACACCCTGCTTTCTCTGCTTGGCATCGAATTTTCTTAAACCGAATTCCGAACTTTTATATGCAACATATCGATTTATGCAACGTCATCGATCAGATCCGTTAGTATAGAAGCAATTCACGCACTGCATGGCATAGGGTGCAAGATAATGATATGTCTAACCATATCATATCCCTGTAAAGTGAAAAATACAATTTTAATTGATGTAAAACAAATAAATGCTGAACCACTTTTTATTTTCATATATATCTGTGGTTGTGCCTGGCCATGTGGGTAAATCCAATATTGATTTAAAACGCTTTCACCTTAAGACTACTACTTAATAATAATCGATAGCAGAGAAAGAGAGAAAGAGAAAGAGAGAAAGAGAGAGAGAGAGAGAGAAAGTGAAATCACTTTCTTTTCTAAAGCACCCTTAACAAGTTTACCTTGGGAATTATTATTAGAATAAGAGATATTACAACAAAAATTTTAATTACAAAGCACTAATGCACGATTCAGTATTTTCAAGACGCTTCATTTGCTGGATGTGCCGAAGCAATTAGCACCTTTATCATACATCATTTTTAACTCGACACATTTTGCACATTCTTTTCACTAATAAAACATTTTCATATAAAGAAGATGCTGCTAGTCTCCTCCAAGATAGTTGTGTGTTAAACGCGATTGTAATCAGAGTGCGTGTAATTTTATTGAGAATCCATAAGGCATTATTATAAAGGATCTTAGCTCTATAAAGCAAGATGTCAAAAAATATTTGGAGTTTTATTTTCTTAGTTATATGCTTTCATTTAATGGAGATAATGCTATGCGAAGCCATCCTCAAGGATAAGAGTGGGCCAGCCTATCCAAGTGATGTTATTGAGAGTGTTTCAAGTGATCTACTAGAAGAGTCCAGAGCAAGAAGAAAACGTCGCCACCATTTACGTAAGTGGTGTGAGCTCACAACACAATATATTTCACCCAAAGCCCAAGGAATGTAAGGTTAATTAATTGGGATCTGATTACACAAATGGATACAAGATAACTCGCATAATAATCGCTTTAGCCGCAGACATAGGATTTATGATTAGTTAGAACATTCCCACTCCATCTAGGTTACCAATTGATTTAGCTTTAGTACTTAAGAAGATTTCGTGATAATCCTAAAAAAAAAAAATTTATAATGCAAGCAAACTATCTTAAATCAAACTATGATCGTTACATTGAATGCCGCCGCATGTTTCGATGTAGTACAGATTTTTGCAAAAATTATACAATTTCCTTCTGCCCTCGCGATTATCCGAAGTAATTTAAGCTTAGGTGGAGAACGAGAGCGCTTATGTTACCATGCGTTAAGTGCAAGTAAATGCGATTGGTAAAATATTTGTAAGCGGGCAGGCAAAATTTCCATTGAAAAAATTAACTTGTACATGTATTCTGCGGACGCCTTCCGGCGTCTACAATTAGCCTTAATAAGAGAGTTTACTATGCAACGCGAACATGTCTTAGAAGATGAAAAAAATTATATATAAAATTATAGAGTGAAAATAATAGAAATCTAAGTTTTCACAATTTTCAAGTGAAATTTTAAATGTGTCAAATGTTTCACAGCAAAAATCATAAAACTTCTTTATTAATGAAGAAAACTGACTCAAGCTTATTACAAAGTGAAAGCATCTTCATTTTTATACAAACATCTCAATCATACCAACGTTATGAACCTTTTTCGTCGGTCTGTTTTACAATAATTAGCAACATTCTTTATCGGAATTGCATAAGAAGTTTATATGAATAACATGATCGATGAATATGTACAACCAATTAACGTCGTTGCTTTAGGTTTGTCCAGATTTTCTTTAATGTGTTGAAAGCAAGAAAATTTTCTTTTCCATCACGTTTTCTCATTTATTTAGCGAAATTTTAAATACATTTTCGACACTTTTCACTTTTCTTGTTTTTTCAATATCCATCACTGAACGATGAAGGTACATTAAATTTTTCATCCCAATTGTAACACATTTAGATTGAAGGTATACATATTTATTCTTAATAAATTCAAACGTGATTCAGAGGTGATTTAGTCCGACACGTCCGAGAAGCTCATGCTTGCAATCACTGATATATAAAAAAGCTGCCTCTTTTTTTTATCCTTAGTTAATAGCCGCAATTCAAATTTGCGAACGGACGTAATACGTGCACAATTACGTTTCCAGAAGATGAAGAAGAATTATATCTTGTAAAATTTAAACAGATATTGATCTGAAACAAGAAGTTGGAAAACAAAAACTTAAACCATCCATTACACAAAAATATGTGACTTACACACAATAAAAAAAATGAATTTATAACTCTTGGATTCTTAGGACCAGCAAAAATGCCGCAAACGATAAGCAAAAAAAAAAAAAATGTGTTCCACACTTCGAATATATGAGCTTTAAGTTTGGCGAGCATCAAAGATGCACCTAAAGCGTATATGATTGATTTTCTTACTTGTCTTTTTTTTTTTGTTTAAAATTTGTTTCTTTTTGATAACCTGCAGATCATTGCATTGTACAATAATACATCAACCTTAAACAAAGAAGCGAAAGAGAAAGTGAATTAAATATATTCAATTTTCAAAAACTTATCTTTACAGATCATTTGTGGGGTTGGCATGCATTGGCTATTGCTTATTTGGTTAAGGTGAAAATAGTGATTGTGGCTTTTTTCGTTGGTAGTGCTATCTTTTTAGGTTTGCGCCATGTTTTGCCATACAAGTGTCCCGCAGAAGTGGTACGTGAAGCTTCCCATATCGTCTATCCAACGTAAGTTAATTGCATTCTTAGAAACTAATAGCGGAAGTGCATTAAAATTGGTTAGTTTTTCTAAGGCCTCCGTATATTCAGCCTAACGATCATGTACATATTCCATATACATTCGATCATTCGAATGATTTTAATGATCATCATCTATATGATGATAATTCGTGGCCTAAAAATCATGCTTCGTTAGAACCTTATGATCGATACTCGGATGTCAATTCGCAATCAGAACCTCAAAGTCTACGTAAAAAACGCCATGTAATCACAAAACGTGACATAAAAACTTCTACCGAGGAAAGGTAACCAATCTGAATATGCTTTTTCTCTTTTTTTGGAGAAACTCTTGTTTATGTTATTAATAATCTTACGCTATCTTCAAGTAGGATAGGTGACTTTGTCTTAAAGTTCCTCGGCTTAGACACCTCAGCGTGCCGCCGCCGATTCCTATGCGAAATAGAGTTCCGTTCCAAGATTAATCCCTTGACCAGCATGGCCTTTCGAATTATAGGAACTAGTTTCTTTGGGGAATATATTAACAAACACAATAAACCAAAACAAGCGAATTCATTTGAAGAATGCTCAATGGTTAACTCCGCTTGTATTTTCGTAGAAAATGAAAATTTAGAGGAATCCATCAGGAGGATTAAGAATGAGGAACATGTAACTGCAACCGATGTGAACGAGCATAGCCGGGAATCTTATAAATCAGGCGGGATAGATTCACAAAATCAAATTACTAAACTCAAACGAGTGAGAAATTACTACAGCGATCAATTGCCTAAATATGATCATTCACTGTTTAATTCATAAAAAAATTATTAAATAAATAATTTTAATTGAATAATATAATAGCACAAAAAAACACTCGTTAGTTGTATTTAATAATTTTAAATTCTAACCGTTTAACATTCAATTTAATATCTTTAATCAAACAAATCCCATCGTCAGACCAATTTGTTCTATGCAAATAATTTCTCCAGTGTGCATTGTTAACGGCAATTTCAAAGTTTTATCAAAGCTAACAAATCATTATACTCATCGTCCAACATGTTGTACCCAGCCAGAACAAATTTTCACAACTTCACCATCACTACTAACTTAATATTATCATCATTCACCACACCATCACGCCATCATCACCACGCCATCGACAGCACGAAATGGCATTAAAACAACAGCTGAAACCCTTCGTGTTAACTGTGGAATATTATCTGGGATAAAAGCAAGAAAGAAAAAAAAATGCATTTCGGTGAAAAACCTGTGCATATAAGTAATATAGAGAAAACTGCAAATTGAGAACGAAAATATGACGGCGATATCGACAATAACCACGACTGAGACGACTATAAACCCACACTGTATAATGCAAATGATTATAGGATTTTCCATAATCATATGTTTGTATTTCTGATAAATACGTTTCAACTGGCCTTCCGGCAACAATACAGGGCCCTCCTTAAATATTCTTCAAAGTCAAACTTAAATAAATGAGAACAGATATTGTGTTTATATATATATATATAAAATAAAATAAAAAAAAAAAAAACAAGTAAAAAGAGTTTAGATAAAGACTTATCAGAAGAAAAAATTCGACTTAACAGAGACTTTTTCCGTCATATTACTAACGCTTCCCCAATTATAGCGATTTCTGTAATTGCATTTTTATTTTTCTTATACTTTCTTTAATACGCCATTTAACTGGTTACTAAACTTTCAATGCTTCAAATGTTTAAATGAAAATCAAAGTAAAAATATTTTTCCTTTCAATGTCACATCCTGCATGAAACACCCTTTACATGTTGAAAAGCAAATTAAAGACTTAGCAGTAGTTTATAAAAATATAACGAGTGTGCAAAACCCGATCAGCAACGACAACAGCAATCAAAACAAACACGTTTTCAATACCGAAACATAAACACACAACGACCTTCTCCTCTCATATTAATGGCGAAAAAAGAAAACAACTAAATATCTAACTGCACAACATACAAATACTCTGAGTGTGACAGGAGTAGAAAATATTAACATAAGTTACCTACACAGAGTTATTTTTGGATTGTACATGAAATGAGAGAAAGAGAAAAATATGTGCATGTGTATATAGCCCATACCGACAGACAGAGAGGCATTGTATAGTATAATATGTACGTAAATGCTAAAAGTTATAGAGCATGACTAAAAAGTGTAAATTGAGTGAGTAACCCCACAAAGTATTAATGGTCGGTAAATAGTGTAGTGTTATAGTGGAAGGGGAAATGAAAGAAGAAACGAAGGTATGCCAGCCACATACATGCATCATATATACATACACATGACAAAGTATGCAATACTTAGCAAGTATTGTTGCAAAGTTATCATCAGTTGGAATTGATAGGTTGCTAGTTGTGGTTTGATGATTGCCGGGCCGCAACGCTGTTGCTGCTTGTCCGATTGTTATACGGATGGATATCAATGTTTTTGGTTTACTTAGTAGGCTAATCATCATAGTTATGTTTTCTTCTGTACACTGGACAACGAACAGATTTTGTTGAACTGTGCACAACTATGCTGCTTTGCAACAGAAAGTAATCAACCATTGAATCGTCGACTATGCACAATTCGGTATAAGCCGCCAGTGAAGCTGGAAATAAACTCAGTGTACAAAATTGTATAGCTGAAGGGTTTTTTGAGGAAGTTTAAGCAAAAAAGTTTATTCACATGCCGCCTTAAGTTTTATTATATGTGTGCTTACGAACTTGTTTAAACCGTTGGGGAACCGAGTTTAGTGTGAATGAAATTGAAGGTACAGTAAGAAAACGAAATGCAGAGGAGGCGACAGTGAACTAATGAACACTAACCTCCCAAAGGAAATGTGTGAAGTGTACCAGTTACGATTGTCGGTGGGTTAGAGTGCGAATAATTCACCAGAGTACTTGTCAGCGCACAGGCATTAACGTCAGTTACCCAACTGTGTGTTGGAGTTGAGCATTTGAGTCAGCTCAGTCAGCAACAGTCGTTTTGTATGTCTAACTAACTACCTGTTAGTAGGATCCATTCAGATGATTGGACATTTTTTTTCCAGTTTGAGTTGAAGTATTTTGACGTTATACTTTTTGAACCTGTTAGGAGGCAGAAAGAAACAAAGTTTGGTTGCATTGGCAAAGATTACAGGGTTGTTAATTTCTTTCGCTTTTCCATCTAGGAGGCATGTGAAAATGTGGCAAAAGTCAACCACTAAACCTAACCATGCAAACGCGACCATGGTGACAACAGTTCAGGCGCACAGAAACAGTAGACGATAGAAGCCGACAGCACAATAAAAACTCATACATGTTTATATATAACTGAAAACATATACACACGCGCACAACAACACTAACATAACGAATGCATAAACTACGTAAGCAAGCATTCACGTCCGGAGCAAAACGAACTGAACAATGAATGCCATGTTAGAGGCACATGGCGTTGTTTCTGTTATTGTTGTGGCGTATTTCGTGTCAGACATCAACCAGCCACTCACTTCAGTCTTGGCGCTGGTGGGTTAAACACTGTGTTGAGTTTTTTCGTCGTTTTCTACATTTTTTTTCTTCTTTCGTTTTCGCTTCGCTTTTTTAGCTTTAAAACATTCATTCACATATTCACTGAGTCAGTCAGTCAGCAGTTAGTCGTGCGTCGGCATGCAATGCCAGTCAACATATGTAAAAGTTGATTGCAACAATTATTGTATTTCATCTGTTTTTTTATTATTTGGTTTTGTGTGTATTCAGTTGTTTTTTTTTTTTTTTTTTCTGTTTTGTTTTGGAGAAAAAAAAAAGTAAATAAATAAATAAAACCGAGAACCTCAACAACAACAACGACCATGACAAACAAAATGCGTTATGTATTTTTATATAAATGTTGCTTTTAGCTGGTGGCGCTTTTGTTTTTTATGTATAAATATAGAAAAGAAAGCACTTTAACAACTAAAATTTACTGCAAAAACAAAATTTAATGTTATTAAGGAAATCCTTAAAATAAAAATTTTTATTTATTTAAAAAAATCTCATCGAAATCGAGATTCGATATTCGAGGGAAATGCCAGGCCAACAGAAAAAATAGTTAAGGAAATTTTCAAACAGGAAAATACAACAACTTGCCGTAAACGTAATGCTGAAAATGTGCGCACGGCCAACAACTCAAACAAACGTAATATAGCTGCTGCTATACGTATAAGTAATTATAAAAGCAAAATAGCGAAAGAGATTAAAATGAATCAAGAGTTGAAACTGAACAAACTCGTTGGGTGAACATTAATGGCTGCATAATAACGTCAACTAGTTTATGGTTCATACACAACTCGTTTATGTCGGGCAATTCAAATAAATTTGGTTCGTTTGTTGTTCAGTTCGTTGGTTCGTTGTCAATATTGTTGCGAGCTACCTGACTACAACGTGTAACCGCCAATCTATCAGGTTAACAGAAGTTTGCTTAGCAAAATAGGAAGCATCAGCGGCTACTCAGTTAAAATGCTTGCAATTGTGTGCTATTCATTTTTAGTGCTTCATCGGCGTGAGTAACAACACCGATGCGTCCTTTACATATGTCTGTGAGAACGTAAATGAGTGAGTATTTGTTTTCTATAAACGGATGTTTAGTTAATAAATTTAGGAGAGAGATTACGTGCGGAGAGAGTATATCTGTTAAAAATTCAAAAGCACAGTGTCTTACAGAAATACAATATGCTATGAGAAACTATAAAATAATAAAACACATTATAGAAAGGTTTTAATATAAGAACTGAGTCTAATTATCTGACCTACTAAGAAATCTCAAATATCTTTAACCGTTGATAAGAAATAAAAGTATGATAGTTTTTTCCTTTCATTTGCAAAACTTGGAAATGTCCATCACAGCTATATGCGATTGGTTCAGTTTAGACACTTGCTCATCCTTTCAAATTTTTTTTTAAGTTCGCTAAGATTTACATGTAAAGCTTGAACTTGATTCTTAAGTACTCAAAATAATGTTACAAATCAAACTTGAGTATAGAGTTGGAAGTTGGCGGCCCCCTACAACCAAACGCGACAAAAAAACGAAATGTTCAGACAAAAATTTCCAAATGTTTTTACCTTTAAATTGTGTTCTTTTTAAAATGTGTTTTCTATATTTATTTTAAATATGCGTCTTATTAGGAAAACATCTTCGATGACTTTTCTATTTCCACAAATCTAGAGTATACAGCATCACTGTGAAAAAGCGACCAGATGCACTTTTCGCAAGTAATCAGTTGAGAAACACACGATTAATGAGAAAGTCTGTATAGAGCAGAAGCAAGAGCAAGAAGCACAAACATGCATTCGCGGAACGAGGATGGGCGTTGGTCGTGGTAAAGCGGCAAAATTTACTCACAAGTGCAAACAAGAAGAAGAGAGAGAGAGAGAAACATGTTTATAAAGATAAAAGAATACGAATGAATCAAACTATATATATATATATATATATATATATATATATGAAAAAAATTAGATTTCGTTTAACACATTCACAAGCATAACAGACTAGACAAACAACTTGCATGAAGCAAAAATAGAAACTATGTAGCATGATAAACAGACCTGCACACAAATTAAGTACACAAGAACGAACAAAAATGTAGAAATAAAAGAAGGAATTTTTTTTTGAAATTGACTCTGTTATTATTTCATTATATATAGCAACAAAACAACGTGAATGAATGAATAAACAGATTATATGGAAAGCGTTGTTGTGCTATGCGAATGTTAGTTAGCAGGCTTTCAGAAAAATGGACAAGTGTAAGAAATATGCTTGGTATGCATTAAATAATCAGAAGCCATATACACACACAGAGAACACGTATATGAATGCTACGAATGTTGATAATAAATTATAAGAATGAAATAAAAATTGCAAAAAAACGAGATAAAATTTTGAATGAAGGCTTCCCTTTAAGAAATTGAAAGCGCAATGGGATTGCAAAGCCATTAAAGAAGATTACTATGAATCACTGAAATTCAATTAACATTTAAAGAAATAAATACGCAAGTAATTGTAAACGTAAACGGCCATAAAAAAAAATTAACCTTCACTTCGCCACTTGACTGGAAATTGAAGTGTGAAAAATCACAAAGCAACAAACCGCAAAATATAAAATTAATAATCATCAAATCAACACTGACAACTGTAAACGCCACACATAATACAGTCATAAAAAAAAAAAAAGAAGAGCTATAACACACAACACACATCTGGGAATTAATACCAAAATAACCTCACGCAAGTCAAATAATAAAAGCAAATGAGTGAAAACAAGGC